CCCTTGGATCCATCTCCACTACATGGCATTTTGGACAAAGTCTCATCAAGAATTTCCCAGTCCACATGATCATAAGATTTTTTATTACCTGGGATTTTTGCACTACAGAGGGAATGTATGCATTCGTGTGCTATTAGAGCCCCATCGAGAATCCGGTGTTCCTTCACAAAGGTCCCTTGGGATGATAAGATCACCTGACCAAGGACACATGTAAGGCGAGAAGCCAGGCCCTCAAGAGAATTTTGTAGGAAGCATTAATCAGACAAATGGGTCTGAAGTCTTTAAGCTCTTCTGCTCCCTCTTTTTTTGTGGATCTTGGCAATGAAAGTGACATTCATCGCCCTATGGATAGTGGCCCCAGAGTGAAATTCAGATAAGAAAGCCATGATATCAGTCCTAAGGGTATCCCAAAAGACTTCGAAGAGGGCTATGGGGAAGCTGTCAGGGTTGGGGACCCGGTCTCCATTGAGATCTTTAATGGCCTGGAGTACTTTGTCCTCTTAAAAAGGGCCTTCCAAAGAGGTTGCAGATAAGGGAGAATTAGAACAGAAGGAGAGGTCCGCCATTACTGGCCTAGGATCAGAAGGGGAAGAGAAAAGCTTGGAAAAATATTCAACAACAGCTGCCTCAATGAGATTGGGATAGTCAACAATCCAATCCCCCAACTTGAAGTGGGTAATAGAGTTCTCCCTTCTTCAACAGTTGGCTATCTTGTGGAAGTAAATTGTATTTTGGTTGCCAAGCTTGAGCCATTTGACTTTGGCCCGCTGAGCCCAATAAATTTCTTCTTTCTTTAGGAGGCATTGGTAATCATGTTTGTGGATGGATCGAGAATCCAGCTCAGAAGGGGAGAGATGTCAAAGTTCTTCAATGAAGTCGCAATGTTGAATAGACCTCAAAAGGGAGTCTTTTTGGTATCATAAGTTTCCAAGGAGCTGTGAGCTCCATGATTTCAGGAAAACTTCGAGCATTTGAAGCTTTTTCTACAAGATAAAATTGGCCCACCCATTCACAAGGGGGGAGAAGGACTCCCAATGGTTACAGGTAGGAGAGGGGAAGCCAGGCTCTTAGAGCCAAGATAGCTCAAGGCAAAAAAGCTTAAGCCCTCGAGGAAGGGACTGGGTATCTAGCAGGATAGGTCTATGATTTGAGGCGGGCTTGGGAAGCACCAGAGAGTGGCTGCCAGGGAACTCATGATCCCACTCGAGAGGGGTTAGAAATCTATCTTCCTCTCAATCATTATTGGTAAATACAAAAATTACTCTCCTGTTTAGCACTATTACCACAAAAAGTTCTTAATATCTTAAACATCTTAAAAGAATAAAACATGAATTTGAAAATTATAAATATTATTCTTTTACCAAAGTATCTATACATAATTAAGGTAACAGAAAAATAAGAAAAACTAACATAAAAAAGATTTCCAGATGTGAATAGGTAAATGCCTCCATGTTTGTCACCAAAAAATGACATACTTGGTGAGCCTCACCAGATTGTCTACTGGTGTGTCAGAAGCAGCAACAGATTAATTGGGTCAGAAGCGTCAACAGATTAATCGGATATAGTGGTAGAGCCACACACCAAAACATGTCTAAAAACTGCATCTGTGATTCATCTAATCCATTCAGCTACTCCCATGTTCTATGAGCAGATTAAATACTGACAAACTCATGAGGTGCACAATATCATCATGCATATGACAAATCAAAATGAAATGACTCCAGATCCAATGATCCCATGGGCCAAATGAAAAATTCAATAGTTATCAAGATAGAATTGGGAAGAGGAAATAATAATTCCAACTAAAATAAAATCTATTATGCATCTTACCAATTGCTCATCAGTTTATGATTAAATCTAACAAGCATGTTATAAATGACCAAAACAAAATTCATGTCTACAAATAGAGTCATATGATGTTGATTATTTCTTAATGTACACCTAAAATGAAATCAAATGCACATAGTTACATACCATCTTAAACATACCTATGTACACATTATTCACAAAATCCCTCTGGAAATACAAGAAGTGGATCGTTATCAAGGGCTTCAACATGTTGTTTCATTCCATGATAACAACACTCACTAATTTAGGGTTGCCACAACACAATAAAGACACTATAATAAGCTCCATCAATTAACAATATCCTCAATTCTTTATTGCAATTTCATGACCCCTGGCTAGGTATGATTGAAGTGAGAAATCAATTTTTTTATGACTTGGGTATGGACCAAGATTGGCTATATAAAACTGCTGGTTCGCAACTGAAGTTTGTCAAAGTGGTTTGTGAATTTTATATACAATTGTGGGATGCCCATTAGATTGGGTATACATGGCCCATGTTCAGCCACGCTATGCGGACTCCAAAAGAAAATGCTTGTACTTTTTTGTGATTGAACCATGAAAAAAAAATAGTTAACATTATCATAAAAAAAAAAAAATGGAAATTTTTTTTCAATAGGCTTTAGGCCAAATGCAATGCTCTTTGGTAATGCCAAAATCGATCTATCTTACTGTGCAATAGACCTGCTAGCCTTTAGTATCCTGACATTGCGGCTGCTAATGAGCAACATTATTTCTCTTGCTAATGCTCATTGTTTTGTTTCAATTTTCTATGTTTGGAGTGACTACTTCTCATTTTGAATTCTTTTTAGTACATATTCCATGTATAAACGCGCAGCAGGGCGGAATCGAAGGAATCCCGAAAGATAGGCACATGTGGGGACAGGTATGGCATGCATATTGTGTAGTGGGAACAAGAGAAGCAGCAACATATCTCTGAATGGAAAAAGTGTCACAATTCTGGTTTAGGAAGGCTAGCTAGACATAAATGTGGGCTACCTTCGAGGAACTATGTTGCGTCGTATACTCAATAAAGAGATCGAGGCGGAGATTGAAGCTGAGCGCTTGCTCTCTCTCTTAAAAAAAAAAAGATCTAAAAGATTCATCACCACCAATAAATCGCTTCAACAAATAGATTAACAAAGGTTAGTAGAATCCCATACCTTTCCATCTCACTCTGAATGGAGCAACACCATGCTTTGACATTTGTAAATATATGTATCCATTTTGTATATGGGCATGCAAGACTAAAACAGAGCGTAAAAGATACGAGAATAAACAAAACAAGTTATGGCCTATTGGGTATTATGAGAGAGAGAAAGAGACTATTACGATCCCGGTAAATAAGGCTGAGAGCATACAAAATACAAGATTCAGAGAGAGAGAGAGTGAGAGCAAACAAAGGATAGATTAGAAAGAGAAAGGGCAATTAGGGGCATCTTACTGGTGATGAGAGAGAGAGAGAGAGCAACGAAAGGATAGCTTAGATAAAAAAGGGGCAACTACAAGCAAAAGGAACTCATCTTCCCAAACCAAATTTTTAATAAAGGAATGAAAGCAAAAAAAAACGCATATAAAGTTTTTGCATCCACCTTGGTCATCAAGATCTTGAGTTTCAAATCGTAGCAAGTCTTGAGATTCTTCTTCCTCCTTTCAACTCTTTTGAATTCCCATAAGCTTGAGTCTGACTCTTGTAGGATATAGCGTCCCTCCCTGCAAAACAAAAAAAGTGCTAATCATAAGCACTTAAAAGCATAAATGAACAAGATAATCAATTAAAAATTTAAGCATTTGATATCCGAAAATCGTATCTGACAGCTAAGCGTTCCACTTGGGGCGGGGGCGGGGGAGAGAAAAAATAAAATTCCACTAGAAACCACAAAATAAGGCCTAGAAACACAATTCAATTCGCTAAACCCTATAAGAACTCTAGAATCTCCATAAGATGGTATTTTCATTAAAAAAATACATATACCAAAAAAAAAAAGGAAAAGAAAGTTAAACACAAGAGAAGCCCTAGAAGCATAACTTCAACATTATATATCCTAAAAAAATACCAAAACATCCAAATCCAAACACACAGGAAAATCATAGAGTATTACCAATATGAGGAATCATATGAAGAACTCTTCTCATTCTCATTTTCTGTTTCAATTTAGCACAATATCAGAAGAAGAAGATAAAGGCGAAAAATAGTAAGTATTACCAATGGCCTCCAATAACAACATCTCTCTCTCTAAAGTGGGTCAAATCATTGGTGAAAAGAAAATTGAAAGGGACATGAAGTTGGGAATGTTATGACAATTCATGCCTCTCTTAAAACTAAGAAATCAAGTTGTGACAGTTGAATTCAGAGGAAATGCAGAACAAATTCAAAGTAAATTAATACAAAGTTGAGAGAAAAATAAGAGAAACAAAGGCGATACCCATTTTGCTTACGGGGCGAGTTAACGTGTGACGACATCCTGAGGCAACGAATAAATTGCTTTTTTTCCAATATCTCCCTTTCGACCCAAAGATTCTTGGAACAAATGTTTGAAAAATCCAGAAACCAAAAAACAAATCTTAGAGAGAAAAACTAAATAGAGATAAAGAACTTTTAATGGTATTTTTTGTTAAATCAAGATTTTAAATTTACTCCTATTGTAACTTTATTTTTCTTTAAACCAATTTTGAATAATATTAAATAAATAAATAATAAAGTTATAAGGAGTAAGTATTTTTTAGAAAAGATAAAAGTATTTTTTAGAAAAGATAAAATGCGAATTTATATCAATACTATTAAAAAAGCAATTTTTTGAAGATCTTTTAAAAAACTCAGGATTCTTAACGGATTTAAAAAAAAATCATCTTTTGAACGGAGACTTAGCAACTATGATAGTTGCATAAATAGCTAAATCTAACGTTGAGTTTCATTGACTTGAGCCGAGCCAAGCCGATGTTAGCTGCAACGAGCCGATATTAGCCAGTCGCGCTGATGTTAGCCAAGTCGAGCCGACGTTAGCTGAGCCAAGCCGAGACATTTTAGCGCGAAAAAGCCGAGCCGAGTTCAATAAATAGTTGGTCTAAAATCCCAAAAATAAGAAAATCGATAAAATTATGAATAAATTATTAAAATAAAAATTGTGAAAAAAAAAATTTATTTTAAAATTTAATTTTTAGAAAAAATATGCTAAAAAAAATTAACGTGGGTAAAATGCCGTCTATTTTTTAGAGTTTTATGCAATTTTCCACTTGGAGAACACCACCGAAGTACGGCAACGGCTCCGTCGCTGTCTGAGGCAACGACTCTCTTTAAGGCAACTCTCTTTCTCTCTCTAAGGCAACTCTCTCAAAAGCAACGGCTCTCTCTCTCTCGGCAACGGCTCTTTCTCTCTCAAAGGCAACGGCTCTCTCCCTCTGAGGCAACGGCTCTCTCCCTTTGCTTTGACATGCTCAAGCGAAACACAAAAGGCCTGGCTGCAACTCCTTTCTCTCTCTCACTCAGAGGTTACTCTCTCTCTAAGTAGACGTCCCCATTAACAATCTACTGATCTACTCCTCTCTCTCTGTATCTTGATCAGAAACCGATCCATCTCTCTCTGCATTTCTTGATCACAGAGCCAGCCAACCTGCATCTTGTCAAATTTCTTCCTCCAGTTTGGACCATAAGGCTTCATTCGTCATTGATCAGAAATCCATTAATCTTTTTCTTCTTCCTCATTTGTAATCAAGAAAATGGTGAAGGGTACTTCAAGCGAAGATGACGAGCTCAACAATGAGAGCCCACCCAAAAAGGAGTGTACTCATCTGGATCTCTGTTGCATTAGATTTTGGTTCTTCTGACAGGTGAAATGTTCAAGCATACGATCATTTAACTTCTGTGATTTATGAGTGGCTGATGAGCAACCTCTGATTATTCTTTTAATCATCTTCAGGTTATATTGGTGAAGATATAAAGTCTCCTCTGATAAGTTCAATTCCTTAGTGGGATGTTTATTTCATGCTCGTATTATAATTGAAAGATAGAGGGTGATTTAGTGCGTGCTTTTGATCTGGTTGCATTTTCTGGATGGAATAGCACTTTAATTTGATGTGCATTATGCTAGATTCCCTGGATTGGATCCATCGGTCTCTGATCGAGTTAAGAACCAGACATGTGTATTGTCTTTGTTGTATTGTATTTGGTGAATTGCCGATTTTTAGGTAGATTGGGCATAGGCTCAAAAGATTTGAATTGTTTAGGTTTTAGGTTATAGGTTATTCACTAAATTGCTTTTGTGCCTTTTCTTCTTTTTAGGCTATGAAGTCCGATCACATAATTGATGTCATTCAGAAATTAAGTTCACCGCTCACTAAGGTACAACTTCATGTTGAAATCCATTGGCTTTTGAAAATCATATTATTGTGCGTAGATGCAGGAGGGATGGAAAGAAAAATTAATCTCCTGTTGCTACTTTGCTAGTATAACTGCCTTAGTTTTTCATCTCTACAATTTCAAATGATGCTGCAAATATGGTAAAAATCAGGGCATGGTATCTACCATCATGACAATTCTATGCTTTATAGCTTATTTCACAAAATTTCTGCATATTATAATGGGAAGGTTATTTGGAGAAGTTGTTTAGTTAATTTTTCGTTCTTTTTTGCTAATTGAGCGCTTGTTTAGGGGGTTCCATGCACTATTTTTTGAGATAGCAGCCATCAAAACACTTGGACACCTAATCCATCTTCGCCATTTTGATCCTTCATGGTCTTGGCCCTCAAAATCCACTTGATGGTTGCACTCTCTGGGTCTAACTAGCAAAAGTTTTCGGGTCAACTATGTGTATGCCTTGAAAATAGATACTAGCGAGAAGTCAAATTTCAAGAATATCCCTTGTGCTGACAGATGCACTTTGTCTAGATGAAATAATGGACCTCATCACTTCCCTTGGTAAAAGTTCTACCCATAAACTTTCCATAGCTCCAAAGTTGGTGCCCTCACAATGGCACTGATTCCCCTTTTCTTGACGGAATATATGGCAAGGGATTGACTTCTACACTTTGACTGTAACATATGGCAAGGGATTGATGGAACATATGGCAAGGGAACACTTACATTTGGTGAGCCACTTAAGCATTAGATGACTTGTATATTTTGAGGGAGATTACTTCATCTTATATTGGCTGCTAAATTCTATGGGAATATTGATGTATAAGATAGTAGATACTTGTGAAGAAAAGTGATATTTTCTTGGACTTCATTTTGAGTATTTCTTCTTGCCAGGGCATCATAAATCATTTTGTGTGGACTCCCGAAGTGGCAGTCCATTTCATCCCATGATGGATTCTGCTTTATCTAAGTTAAAGCTTTTGTGGTCCTCTAATTGTCACAGTTGTATTTCTATATGCATATGGATGGTCCAACAGGTGCCATAGTTATGTGGCCACAACAGTCTGTATTTGTAGGCTGGTGGCCTTATGTAAGCTTCTAGAATAATCATCAATATTTATGTTTGGGATTCTTGGATTGATAAGATGGAGTAACTTCACCTCTGATCCATATATATTATGTCCAAATTTTGTGACTTGTTAATGATGGTTGCTGTTTCTTAGTTTCATACATGGAAACAGTCCTTTTGCTGCTTGAGTTTTACTTATTAGTTATTTTTGGTTAAAGAGAAAATTTTGATTTTGATTTTGATGTTGTCATTGATTCATTTTATAGGTGACTGGGTATCCATTGAATCCACAAATTATGGGAGTTGACCTCAAGTATGTAAAGCAGTTTATAAGTTTGGTTGCTGGCCTTTCCTTTTATATTGATTATGGTTTTTATTTAAATTCCCTCCCCTGAGGTCATAGTTACTTTTTAAAAATATCAACTAGTATGTGATTTTTTGTTTTCTCCCTTTTGCTTGGATCATGCCTCTAACAGATTGATAGTTCATATTCAAAAAATTCACAGTTGAATTTGTTATTCTTGTCCATGTTGGATACCATTATCTAACAGTTGTAGGTCAGTGTCCCAGGTTAGATACATTTTTTATTGGTTTTGTTTGCTGCTTAATGCGTTTACGGTAGTGCCTGGGCTTCTGCCATTGATATGAGATTGTTCACAATTATCCCTTTTGTTTCTTATGTTCTTTAGTGTGTTTTGATTGGGATTTGAATTGTTATTGCTAACTTATGCTCAAAGGTTTCCTTTAGGGAGTTTTGCAAGGTCACTAAAGTCTAGGGAAGGGACTCTTTCTCCCACTTTGAGTTTCCCACTTAACGAGAATTGTTTTAGATCCATATATGATGTTGACTGTGAATTGCTAAAAGTCTAGTTCCTCTCTATCAATGCAGAATTGGATTCATATACTCTGTGAGCTTTCTTCTGATGTTCTTGTTCTGGATCTGCAACTTCCTATATACTTGAATCCTTTTTTGGATGGATCATGGTTTCATCATCAGTAGTGCACGACGAATATGTGATTAGTAAATGTCTGGATCAATTAAATTCTCACAATTCTTCATGAGTAGTGAATCTGAACTGTTAAGTTTTATATATATTTAGTTGAAGTGTAACTCAGTCTCCTTTTAAGATGGGTTGCCCATGTTCATAATGCACAACTGTGGACCTCGCCAAAACAAAAAAGACACACAGCAGTTAGAATATCTGTTTTCATGTAATTCCATTAAAATGTTTGTATGTTTTGACAGTTCCTTATGTTACACCCTTTGATATTATCTATTGTTTGATATGTCATTATACCTAATCATAATCATGAGTTAAATAGTCATTGAAAAGGAATAATGATGAACTCATGTGTGTCTGTTTTGTTGTTCCTGTCCCCTCAATGATTTATGATGTGTCACCTTTTGTAGCTTTATGTGCATGATGAAAAATTTAATCAGCCTATATTCTTCGGCAATAACATATCAGGTTTTGTTGAGCTTGTAAGTCGAACCTGACAACAGAAGAATAAAATAGTTGGACATGTGAATATATTCTTCTGTTGTCATTCTATGTGAATATATGTCATTCTATGTGAATATATTGTGAATATATTCATTGTATGTGAATGTATGTCATTCTATGTGAATATATTCACATAGAATATATTGTGAATACATTCTTCTATGTGAATATATTGTGAATATAAGTCATTCTATGTGAATATATGTCATTCTATGTGATTATATTCTTCTGTTGTCATTCTATGTGAATATATTCTTTTGTTGTCATTCTTCTGTTGTCAGGCTCGACTTATTTTATTCTTCTGTTGAGCCTGTAAGTCTGAGCCTGACAACAGAAGAATGACAACAGAAGAATAAAATAGAATGACGACAGAAGAATGGAATCTTGAAAGAATGAGCTGTGGATAGAGAGCCCTGCGTTGATCTTCAGGTACTACCTGAAATAATTAGACACTTAGACACAATTGGACACTTGCTAAATGAAAACATATGGGGATTGGAAAGTCTTCAGGTATCGAATGACAACAGAAGAATGACCGATGTAAGTCGAGCCGAGCCGATACAAGCCGAGCCAAGCCTATATAAGCCGAGCCGAGGTATTGAGAAAAAATAAAATAGTGAAAATACGAAAAAAAAAAAAAAAAACTATTACAAATTTCACTGAAATTTGTAGAATTTCAGTGAAATTTTAACGAAATTCAGTGAAATTTTAATATAGCAAAATTGTGGAATTTTATTACATAGGCAAATTTTAGACATCATTTTTTATTCCCAAATTAAACTATCTTTTTTTGTTTCAGCTACAAATTGTTGTCTAAAAATTACAAACAGACAATCTTCAAATTTGTAGAAGTTAATTAGGGTTTTTATATCCCAATTCTTTGCTTTACAATGTGAACTGATACGAGTCTTCTCTCTCCCCTTCATTTCACTCTCTCAAATAGATTGTTCCTCTTTCTGGTGTTCAGGAATGGTTAATTAGACATGGCCCCGATGCGGTTTGACCCTTGACCAGTAAATTGGCTGATTGGTTGTTTTTTTTATTTGATTTTTTATTTAATAGGAATTTGTTTATTATTTTTTACAAATTGTTTTTTTTTTATTTGATTTTTTAAAATTTTTCTGTTTTTCCTTGGGTTTTTTTGGTTGGTCTCGGTTTTGGCTAGAGTTGGCTAGCTCGGCTCGGCTTATTTTGGTTAGGCTCAACTTATATCGGCTCAGCTCAGCTCAAGAGAATTTATTATGAACCGATTTGATGGGAGCTGAGCCGAGTTGATTATAGCCAAAAAAACCCGAGTCAAACCAAAATAAGCCGAGCTGAGCTCACAATCGGCTAGCTCCAAAGCCTAAAAAATGAGAAAACCACATAAAAATTGAGAGAAAAACAAAAACGTGACTAAGATGCGGATGGTTTACATTATGGAAGAGACACATGTATATGTGATAGAAATATAAATATTGAAATAGAAATAGATATTTTTTAGAAATAGATATTTTTGATTTGAAATAATCTAATTCATACATATTTATATATATGTAGCCATAGTCTTATATAGATACTGTAATGGGTTCTCACTCTCAAATTTTACTCTAGATAAAACCCAAAACTACTCCTTACTCAAGTTCTAGGTGAGGGCCAATCCATATTTCATTGATTCACGTCCCCATTAACAATCTATTGATCTACTCTCTTTTCTCTTTCTGCGTATCTTGATCAGAAACCGATCCATCTCTCTCAATGCATTTCTTGATCACATAACCAGCCGGCATGAATCTTTTCAAATATCTTCTTCTAGTTTAGACCATAAGGCTTCATTAGTCATTGATCAGAAATCCATTAATCTTTTTCTTCTACTTTTACAATCAAGAAAATGGCGAAGGGTACTTCAAACGAAGATGACGAGCTCAACAACGAGAGCCACCCAAAAAGGAGAAACTATTTTGGTGGCCTTTACAGGAGAAGAGCTCATTGAGAGCAT